GCGCCTTCATGGGCGCCGTCGCCCTGACGCGCACGCACTTCCCGACCATGCTGTTCCTCGGCGTCGTCGCCGAGCTGGCCGGCCTGTACTTCCACGAGCTGGGCGAGGTGTCCGGCGTCATGAGCCACGAGAGCCATCACCTCCGGGGCGCCAAGAACTTCGGCTCCATTGGCTTGATGGACGTGCTGCACGGCACTTTTATGAAGACTTGTAGGTGTTTATTTGCTCCGTGTGAATATGGTACATGGCCGAGTGCTGACGTGGTGTTTTCAGAGATTGCTTGTTCCTGCATGTGCGATGAAGGTGAAGGTGCGGTGGCTAGGAGACGAGATGAATATATACCGTGTTCTGTATTTACGTGCGTGCCCAAACCTGCAACAACGTCAAGTGATGTAACACTGCATGTCCACGTTGGGATCCATGTCATGTCTCACGTCGTCTTCTCGTTGCACGACCAACACGCATGTTGGCATCTCGACAGAGGGCCTGCATTCGGTCTGTGCTTCCATGTCGCTTCCCCAACTCAGTGCCGACTTCCCCTTTGGCGCCACGCCACACCCGCGCTTTCCCAATTTGCGGGGTGGCATTTGGCTTTTGAGCAACAGTCGCACTGCACTTGCCAAATTGCTGGCCTGCCACCTTCCAAATCGGTCCAGTGTTTGTTCCAGTCGTCAGACGTGAGAGTATCGTCTTGTCTTTTATCGGCCTGCCCAAGATTCGAACGACTGTCGTTTTCAAGACGTGCCAGGGATTCAGCTACTCGTGTAGTGTTCGGCGCATGAGCTTGAGAGCTCGATTAGGCTTCCGCTAGCCGTTGGCGAGTCAGTGGCCTGATATAACGACGTCAGTGACGATGCCCATGGAATGACGACTCTCAAACTGGACACGTTGATTGTTTCTATCAAGACAAGATGATTCAGTTTCGCAAGGTCTACGTGAGCAAGAATCTCAGCCGGCTTGGACTGCATGTTTGCGAGTTAGTAAGGAACACGCTACGTCGACGTTGTGTAGCCAATGGACAGTGGATGGGAGCCTTGTTATTCCTCTGGTGCCCTATTCCATTCAATGTTCCGTTAACTCACCATTTATAACGAGCTAATATCATTTCATCTACAGCCTCCACCAGCGTCCGGAATCGACTGTCAATATCACTGCGTACAACTCCACACATTTGCTCGTCTACGCGTCGAGTCAAGACCCCGGCACATAAAACCCTTGGCATGTACTCGGATAACGTAATCAGATTAGCCTGTCGTGAACTGAGTGACTGCTCACAATCAATCAATACGGACTTTGCAGCAAATTCAGACACCCCGACCCTTGTACGTTTATTAAGCATGGATGACCTAACAAGAAAGTGAGTAGCCAAGTCAGAGCACCGTAACAGACTAGGTGACACTCAATCATAACTTGAATTGATAGGATGTCTTATATTAAAAAATAAAGTTGTGCTTCTCTTGCCCTACACGCGAGTCATAGAAGGCGCGTGTCTCTCTCTCCCACTTACATGGCCCGTGTATCCAACCCTCCCTGACTCGGTGCCTCGTACAATCGTCGCAGTCTACCACGTTGAGTAAGAGTTGGCGACAAGAGGCCAAGTTTTGCCAGACAGATAGGCTTGTGTGTGGAGCTGCTTTCGTCTCAGGGTTGGGTCGGGCATAATACAGGAATTAATACGGATGGAATAGACCCGTATTCGGCGTTATATGTGCGCGTCAATACGAGTCGACTGCGTGTTGCATTCCCCAAGGGCGCAGCAATATGGGATATCGGCAATCCTTCACGTATCCTCTGAATCCTTCCCCCCCTGGCGTTTCGCTATCATACGACGCGCCCTTTGGCCAGAGCCTTGCCCATCCCAAGACCCGCATTGCTCGACCCTGAGGCTATCGATGCTTCGCTTCCGCGGAATTAATCGCGGCATTATGCCAAATGCCGTTCTGAATCGCGCTTTGCCCGGTGCGCATGAAGCGTGGCTTTTAAGAGACTGGGTTGGGCTGGCCCATGGCAAATTTGCTTTCTATTCTTCAATGCTGGCTGTTTCTGTCCCATTCTCCAACCACCCGCTCGCGGCAAAGCTAGACAATGGCCGCTGCAATACGATTTCGCTGAAAGAAGTGAGGCCTGCTGATCCATACGCATAACCATACGCTTGGCACTGAGACTGGCTTGTCGTGCCATCCCGGCCCGTCGTCAAGATGCGAGTGAGCCCCGAGCATTTCTTCCGAGTGCTTGCTCCCGCAGCCGTACTTTTGTTGCTCAGCCTTGCCCTGTTGAAATCGTCCGTTCCGGTTCAATGGCCTTCTACGTCGGCCAACCTGTCAGCTTTGGAGGAGCAGCGACGGCCCTCCGGCCAGTTCGCTGGAGCGTCGAGACGGGACGCCGGGAACGGCACCTTGGGTTTCAGCGGCATCTACTTCATCAACATGAAGAAGCGGTATGATCGTCTCGACGCCCTCGCACTGCAATGTTTCCTGTCTGGCGTAGAGGTCAAGGAGGTTCCCGCCGTAGAACCCGACATGATGAGCGACGCAGGCATGCCGCCGAGCAAATCGCCAAGCTCGGTAAAGGTAGGCGAGAGGGGAGCCTGGAGGGCGCATGCAAATGTAAGTCAAGGAAATTATACTACAAGACGTCAAATTAATAGTCTTTGCAGATTTGGTCAACCGTGCTGAGGAATAACCTCCCGCCCGTCATCATCCTCGAATCCGACGCAACCTGGGACGTCAACATCCGCAGCATCATGCTCAACATGAACAAGCACTTTCACAAATTTCTCACAAACATCAACTCGACCAGGCTGCACAACCCGCGCTGGAGAGACGACGCGGGCGAATCCACCCGCAGGACCGAGGCGGCAGACGATCCATGGCAGAGCGACCACTGGGACATCCTCAGCCTCGGGCATTGCCACGACAGCGCGGCAAACAGGAACATCAGCCTGATTTACGACGACCCGTACGTGCCGCCGGGCAAGGAGTTTGGCGATACGGTCCTCGGCCGGCAGAGGGTGATCCGGAAAGCAGGCGGCATCGTCTGCACGACCGGGTACGCCGTCAGCCAGACGGGCGCGGCGAAGCTGCTGGTCAAGACGGCCCAGAACCTCGACGCCCCGTTGGACCTGATTGTCAGGGGCATGGTGGAGGACGGGGAGCTCGTGGCGTACAGCGTGATGCCGCCCATCATGGCGCAGTGGCAGTACGTGGACGGCATCGGCATGGACGAGCGCGGCGCCAACAGCGACATCCAGGGGGCGCAGGAGGACGAGGATAAGGACGAGGGCGAGGAGAAGAAGGACTCGTGGGAGGAGGTGGACAGGTCGGGTAGTGTGTGGACGACCAAGCCTTACCATGAGGACGTGGCCTTTGAGGACATGGCTCTCGAGGTTGCGTTGCGGAGGATTTTTGGGCGCAACAACGAGGGCGAGTGACGCGTGGCTTTTGTGTCTGGACGACAAGTTTGGTCTTTTTGAAATTCACAATTCATACCGTTTGCTTGTAATATCTTGGGTCTTGTCGCCGGTATGGACGCTCGCTAGGTTACAGCGAGTTATTGTGGACTCATCGGTCGACGATTCTTCATGACCTCGTCGGAAGATACCCTTTTTTAAGACTCATCCTGCTCCGCCTTGCGGGGGATATTCTGCGTCCTTTTATTTTTGGGCAACGGGCAGAGATATATCGTCTACAGTGCAAGCAAAACTTGCCGGTCTTGGTCAATGATACATGGAAGAATATGATGGAGTTGCATATCATGAATGCCCTTGAAATAGACTACCACCTGTGTATATAATAAATAATCTAAATAGAGTTATTATTACAAATATGATCGAGAGGTGGACCATCTTATGCCGCCCGGCCGAGCTGTTTGTATCACTGCTGTTGAGTAGTTAATCGGTGTCTATTGGATTCTAATACAACAAAGCCGAGCTTGTCCAAAGCCGCGTTTGTGATTTTACACTGGGAAGGTCAACTATGAGCAGATCGAGCTAACGCGGAAAATTAAATCACCTGCATGCAGTATCGACTTGCGCAACTTGACTCGGTGCTCCTCCGATAGAATGTTTGGGCCACCAAGATCGTACAACATATTGCCTTTGATACAAACACTCCATCAACAGCCAAGGCATTCCTACGGGTTTTTATCTGGGCCCGTGTTGTATGTATGTATTACAAATGCCCTTTACGGGGACGTCGGTGGACTGCGGAATCAACTTCATGGTTACGATTTCTCTTTCCATTGCGAATTTCCTCGCTTGTCCACCAGCCAGAGTCGAGTCGTGTGGTTATACGTATGATGATATTCGTTTGTCGTTGTACTGCCCTTCCCAACGGAAGACAAAGGGCGTCCTCTGTCCCCGCGAGCTGGTGAAATTTGAAGCGCATCGATTGGCTCATCCGATGCCGACAGGTTCTCGTGATCAACCTACGTTTGAGACGTGATGGCTCGCGAGCCTGGGCCCGAGGGGGAGGAAGAGATGTTGGACAAGCCCCTTTAAATTGGGCCGTGTGAACAAGATAGTTACCAACGAGTAATTGCTTAGCTGGAGGTTTTACCAAAATATGGGACAGTCTACAGCAGGACAGAAACTAGGACCTCCGTACTCATATCGCCATGTTTCTGGGAAAAAGGCATGACAAGATTCTTGGAGAGAGGGATGTCGATATCATACTTGGACTTGGCCACGGTTCATGCTCAGGTCGATGACGACGAACATGCAGTCATATAATTGCCTCCTCGCTATCTATATTGAAATGGAATGATATGGGCGCACTTTTGAATCCAACTACAGGCTCAAAGGGGTACAAGCAAAGATGGGCAGACGAACAAGTAACAATTACCACCACAAATCACGAATCGTCCGTAATATGGGATAGAGTATGATTCCAAAATCCCCAGCTTGCACAGAGTTCTGCTACTCCCAAAAATCCCCAATTAATTAGCAGTGTGCATTACAGCTAAAATTTCCACACACAGCGATTCCGTCAAACCCGTCCCCATCACTTGATCTCCGCCGGAAACGACTTGCAAATTAACGTTTCTCCCTTGTCATCAAACAACTGCAGTGTTACTTCAATTTTGATCTTGGGGTAGGAACTCTCTACAGAGACTTCGCCTCTCAACGTCTGCGGCAACCCAGCTTTCCCCGGGCATTTCAGTCCCCAGTGGCTGCATGCCTCGGGAAACTTCATTGGAAAATCAATGTCGATTACACCTACCGAGGCAGCCAGCTTTACTGTTGCTTTTTGGAAGGAGCTCCGAGGGGTGAAGGCTGCCTCTATAGAGGCATTCTGGCCCGATGGAAAGCGGCAGACGGAGACGGCGTCGGGGCATCCTCCGATTTTGATGTTTAGGTTTTTGGCCGTGCTTCCTGTCATTGTATTCCGGTTAGATACTAAATGGCGAGAAATGCATGTACTTTGAAGACGATGCGTGATACGTACCACAGTCCTTGAATATAACGGCATTTACAGCGCTGAGGACGCCTAGTAAAAGGAACAGCAGGGAGCCTTGCATGTTGCAGACCAAGGTTTCGAGATATTTGGACAGGTTTAGGCTTTTGTATTGTGAAGGACAGTCAAAATGGCCAAGACGAGAAGAATCATGTTTCGAATTGAGAGAGGCAGGCACTATTAATAAATATTCGACAGGTTCTGTCTGGAGGCTTTGGGAGACGGACGTGGTACCAATTGTGTTGCAAACTGCGCGGTGATGGATGTTCGAGTTTACAATCCAAATCAGTCGAGAGCACGGCGGCACAATGGCAACCGGTGCTCACATAGAATGTAACTCTTTTTCATCTTGTCCCACCCACCCGTTTATATCGCTTGCTCAGTCCTCTCTGTGACATGATATCTTTGTATGTCGAGCGCGTTGAATCGCTGACTTGTCTGCAAAGCATCCTTCTCGCACGGTAATTGGCGGTACACAGTAATTCCGTATCCCATCAGCACTACCGAGTACAGGTCACACTGTCACAGACCCTCGGTGCTAGGATTGTGGCCGCGCTTTGCAAGCCCGTTGGGCATGGTGAATTGAGCAACGCTGTGAAGTACTTGGCCCAGCGAAGTACATATATGCCGAAAGCAAGTTGTCTTGGGCTGGGCTGGCCAAAGCCAAGTTTTGCGACCATCGAAGAAGGTACAAGAAGGTTGAAACAAACATTGAATAATGACATGGAAGAATCCCCACATCGGCGGTGCTGGGATCCAGGCTCCAACGTCCAAATGTCAAGTCGGTCCTTTCCTTCCTTCCTGATGGAGCCGCGCACTTGAGGCTTAGTCTCGCTGGCTAGGCAGGCCCGGGCTAGGCAGGCTTGCAGATGTCGACGGTGCATGGGGGCTTTTTTGACAGCACAGCCCTACAATACGCCCCGTATTTTGCTGAGCCGCCAACATTGAAGTCTAAAATGATAGCACCACGAGCGCCGCCATCAAGAATGCTCCACGCCGTTGCAGGCCAACGCTGCAGTGAGGACAAAGGACGAAACGAAAAACAGCCCGATCGGGCACGATGGTGGCATGTCGAGCTTGCCGCGTTGGGCTTGGCGATGGCAGCCGGCCCTTTGGCAGCTGACGTTGGTCCACAAGGCTGCCTCCTTCCCTTTCAATGTTCTCGCTTCGAACACGGCCAACTGGTGTAACCAGCTGAAAAAGCAACCTATCCCCCCAAAATCTTCCATCGAACAATCCTCTCACCTCTGCATCAATATTTACGTGACTTCAACCGGTCGAGCGACGGAGACACAATTCGTCCTTGACACATGATGGATTCACAACAGCAGCAGCAGCAGGCCAATGTTGCTCCCGCGCAACCACAGCAAGCCTACCATCCCGTCACAAACGACAGCGTCCAGCCCGTTCAGCAGCCGAATACCGGGCACGCTCTGCCTCCAAGCTACAGTCAGGCAAACCAGGCAAAAAATGCGCCCGCGAACCAGCCGCCCCAGCCAGCAAACATGGCCGTCACTCCTTTACACCAGCTGGGCAACCAGCCGGAGTGGATTGATTGTCCTTTCTGTCATCAGCGAACGAGGACTACCGTGCAGCGAGAAGGCACTTCTATGCAAATGTATGTTGCGCGCTCCATCTACCAGCCTTGCCCCACCGAATAGTGCTAACGCCGTTCTCGCACAGAATTGTCGGTGCCCTCCTCTGTATCGTCTGTATTTGCCTCACTTGCCTGCCCTGCCTCGCCGGCTGGTTCGAAGATACCCAGTACCATTGCTCCCGGTGCAGGAACATGGTTGCCATCCGCCGACACGATGGCCCAATCGAGGTTTTCGGTCCCACGATGCCCGTCTGCTCCCAGTACAGCGGCAACCAGGCTCCCATGAATGCCCAGCAGCAGCAGCCTCCACAACAGCACCAGGAGCAGTATCCCATGCATGTGCTTCAGCCACAGGTTCAGCAGCAACAGCAGCCTGTCACGCAGCCTGACGCCAAGAACTGAGCTCTCTCGCCAAGTGGGAAACCAAAAGTGCTACATGTATGGAATTTTCATTCCTTTTCGGTATTGTGTCACCTTTTTTGTTTTGTGCTTGATGGGACAAACTAGACTCTGATATTGTTATGAATGATCGAGGTGACGTTGGAGTTGCGGGAAGGGGGGGCCGTGGGTCGTTTGCCATGGCGGGTTTGCTTTCGCCACCTACTTTTACTTTCCTATATTTGAGATACCAAATGAATTCTTACCTTTGTCCTACATATACAGTCGTGTTGCTTGGTGCGATCAAAGACTGTATCCGACTGGGTAGTTGCAGTTGCAAACAAACGCCTCGACTAAACTCGAGTAATAACCAACAAGAGCCCATCATTCGCACAGCAAGAAACCTAATGGCTTGGTCAAAGACTCGGGTACACACTTCCATCGAGCTCTGGTAAAGCTAACGCTTTCTGATTCGGGGCAGCATTGGCATGCCATCATCCTCCAACTTCAGCCAACCCAGGCTTGACACAAACTCGAGCATCCGACGGAGTACACGACCAATTGACCAACTAGCACAACCGCTTCGATAAAACCTTCAAACCGCACCGTCGCTGTCTCCATCGGATTTGTGGCTCTTCCGCGCGGGGTCATGCGATTGCCGCACGATGAAACTTTATTTCCATGGCTGGCACCACGCCACACATCGCCGAGCAATCAGCTCACATATGTACCAATAAGTGCGTCATCTCGCATCAAATCGAACCTGTTTCCAACTATGCGAGCCCTGGGGGCTGGCCAGTATTGAGCTGGCAGTTCCGACACAGCCGATAGCTATTGAAGCTTGACAAGCTTTATATAGAGGATGCGCATCCCTCGACATGAATGAAGCCTTTGGTTCCCCCAATTGCTTCTTCTTTGGGTGTAAATCGGCCGAGGACAACGAAGCTTTTTCTAGCCAATTGCTAGTCTCCTGAGAGAAAATTGTCACCTCCCAGCCTCACCGTGAACTTCCACGCGAATCAACCTCATAATGCCAGCTGTGAAAGCAGGAGTGAAGCGCCGCCATGTCGAGGACGTAGAGCCCCCGGAGGACTTTACCAACGTGTACGGATCGCACTATGCTGCGCAGGACATGCCATGCGACGATATACCTGATGATTCAATGCCGCCAGAGGTTGCATACCGCATGATCAAGGACGAGCTCAGTCTGGACAATAATCCGAAGCTCAAGTAAGTCACACACGACCCAACTGCAGGATTGAAAAATGAACTACACGATTCCATTCAATACTCATGACAGAAACTAACTCGACTTTCTACGACAGCCTTGCTTCCTTCGTGTCAACTTACATGGTAAAGCCACCAAGCCCGCAACACCAAACCCGCCGGCTAACAACCACCGCTCTCCTCCGCAGGAAAAAGAAGCAGAAGATCTCATGCTAGAAGCCATGTCCAAGAACTTCATCGACTTCGAAGAATACCCGCAGACGGCAGAAATCCACCACCGCTGCGCTAACATGATTGCTAACCTCTTCCACGCGCCCAAGGACATTGGTATCTCCACATCAAGCGTCGGCTCCAGTGAGGCCATTATGCTCGCCGTGCTGGCCATGAAGCGTCGCTGGAAGCAGCAGCGTCAGCAGCAAGGTAAGCCCGCTGATAACCCCAACATCGTCATGTCCTCTGCCGTGCAGGTGTGCTGGGAAAAGGCGGCGCGTTACTTTGAGATTGAGGAGAAGTACGTGAATTGTACGAGGACCAGGTTCGTGATTGACCCCAAGGAGGCGGTTGAGCTTTGTGACGAGAATACCATTGGTATTGTGGCAATCCTGGGGACTACTTATACCGGTGCGTATGAGGACGTCAAGGCCATCAGCGACCTGCTGGTGGAGAAGAAGTCTGATGTGCCGATTCACGTTGATGCCGCGAGCGGCGGGTTTGTGGCGCCGTTTGTTGTTCCGGATCTCGAATGGGATTTCAGAGTTGAACGTGTTGTTTCTATTAATGTATCTGGACACAAGGTGAGCTACACCCGCCCCCCCCCCCCCCCTCTTCTCTTCCCCCTCCTCCCTCCCCAGTACCCTTCTACCATAAACACCAATTCTGACTCTTGTATCCCATAATCCCAGTATGGTCTCGTATACCCCGGCGTGGGCTGGGTAGTCTGGCGCTCGTCCGAATACCTCCCTAAAGACCTGATTTTCAACATCAACTACCTCGGCGCCGAGCAAACTTCCTTCACGCTCAACTTCTCCAAGGGCGCGTCTCAAGTCATTGGGCAATACTATCAACTCATCCGACTCGGCAAAGCCGGCTACCGTCACATCATGTGTAACCTCACCAAGACGGCAGACTACCTCACCGACGAGCTCCGCAAGCTTGGATTCGTCATCATGTCTGAAGGACACGGCAAGGCCTTGCCGCTCGTGGCCTTCCGCTTCGCCGGCAAAGAGGAGGGGGAGACGGAGGAAAAGGAGTTTGATGAGTTCGCATTGGCGCACTACCTGCGCTCCAGGGGCTGGGTCATCCCGGCGTACACAATGGCCCCCGAGACGGGGCAAATGAAGATGATGAGAATCGTTGTGAGGGAGGATTTCTCAAGGAGCAGGTGCGAGTTGCTGATCAAGGATATCAAGCTGTGCAGTCAGCTTCTGGAGAAGGACAGCGAGCAGTTCATCATGAGGCTGAAGCAGCACATAGGACAGCATACTAGTGGCTCGGGGAAGATCAGGGATCCAATGGGTGCGGCCAAGGCCGTTTTCAAGGTATGTTGCGTGCTTGGGCAGACGTTGAATGTTGATGCTAATGGCGCTTAGAATGAAAGTCACTCGCTCCAGGGCAAGACTGGCAAGAGTCACGCGGTGTGCTGATGGATTCATTTGTGCACCTCGGTTTACGAGTGGCCTCGGTTGTGACGCTTTTGTTCAGTCGTCGTTGTCGTTGCAGTTTTGTTCCTTGTACATACCTAATAACAGTGTTTGTTCCCTCTCCACGCCCATTCATGCAGCCCGTGAACACCTCACGTACTTGACAACTCGAAACGGTATTGACTGCCGCCTTTGCTCATCTGGTTTCACATCTCCGCAAACAACTCCTTGTTGTGCCTTTCATTGCACTGGAGACGTATTCACACGCTTTCCATGGCAACTATTCTACCCAGGATCAACTCTGGGATTCAAGCCGAACACATGCCTAGATTCATAACTCTTTGGAAGTCCAACGCGAATAAGACCAGAACAGAGATTACGCCGCCTCCCTCGCAAAGCTATATAAACCCCGACTGTTGCGCGGTAGGGCTCCCTCCTTCTGTTTCCCCCATCGCGATACTCATCAACTGCTCACGCGATCATTTGCAAATACTTCTCGACTACGATCTTCAAAATCTGCAAAAATCAAAACAACTGAGGAGCACGCCATTCGCTCCTTCCTCGAAAATGTGCACAACTCACATTTGCCTGCGGCAGTGTGTTCGATGCGAGGGATGGTGCGAACGTGATGTGATGTTCCATTGCAAAGATGTCCTAAAAAAGGCCAAGGACGAAAACAAACCCCCAACGCATAAAGGTTGTCCTAATTGGATAAAGTTTGACAAGAAATTTGAGTGTGGTGGTATGGTGTGCAAGGGTTGCGAGAATAAACCCCCGCCTGGACCGACTGAGAGGAACTATCCCCCCGACGAGGAGGAAGGAAAAGAGGGTGAGGGTGAGGGTGAGGGTGAGGATGAGGATGAGGACGAGGACGAGGATGAGGACGAGGATGAGGATATGGACGAGGACGAGGGTGAGGGTGAGGATTGCGAACAACCTAAGCTTTTCGGTTTTTTGGAGCATTATGAGGCTTACTTGGCTGCCAAGGCTGCCGAGGACAAAGAGAATTAAATCAGCCCAAGGAACGGTCAACACGGGCTTCCCTCTCACTGACACTCTACGCGAGATGAGTTGCTTCAGTCAAGACTCAATGTTCGAATTCGAATAGGTTTTTCATCCAACCAGAGCCAGCCAACTAATCCAGGATTGGCCGACAACTCTGTATGGTTTTTCCCTATGAGAATTAGTAACCGAGGTTCAGATCATATGCTATCCAGCCTAAATAAAGACATAAACCACAGCTATGCGCCAACGTGAACAACGCCTTGCCAAAGTGCCACATTGAGTTCCGACGCCAAGCTGTTTGATCCCAAATTCGCAGTGCGAGACAAGTGAGCCCCCAGCATCCCGGCGATCATGGCCTGAATAACGCCTTAGAACCGTAGAAGACTCTTTGTTCTTGTCCAGACCTTTATGAACTTGGCAGTGGGACCAAAGTCCACGTCTCCCCTTTGTCTCGGCGACATTGCTGTGATCAGCTTGCCGTGCTGTTTGTAACTGATGCATCCCTTTGAGTGTGCGCAGGTCCAATTGATGTATTTAACCTACTCTTCTTTTATAATACTTAAAGATACTTAAAGATACTTAAAGATACTTAAAGATACTTAAAGATACTTAAAGATACTTAAAGATACTTAAAGATACTTAAAGATACTTAAAGATACTTAAAGATACTTAAAGATACTTAAAGATACTTAAAGATACTTAAAGATACTTAAAGATACTTAAAGATACTTAAAGATACTTAAAGATACTTAAAGATACTTAAAGATACTTAAAGATACTTAAATATTAGGGATAATAAACTAGTATATTTTTATATACTTATGTATCTTTAAAACCTTAGTTACTTATTATTGGCTAGAACCCTGGCCCGTTACAAAAATTGGACCTGCGCACATTCAGAGGGATATTTCGAAACAGTGATCGATACAATGAGATAAAGACAAAGAAACAGCCCCCCCCCCCCAAGGTATGTCATCGACAATCTTGTTCAAATTGTGTATCAGAGAGCACGAGATGGCAACCCCGACTGTGCATTGGCTTGAACCATTGCAAGAGACCTAGACCGAGCTCTCGCTCAAAAGCAAGCGCTAGTGAAAGAGCTCATGCAGGAGAGGTTCAAGGTTCACGGGGAGAGGTGAACTTTTTGCCTTCGGCTGCTACTACCCAAGGGAGAGAGGTTCTTATCCAACTTCCTACAAGGCCGATTCAAGGGGGCTCGAGAATCATAGCTTCACCCTCTTTCTCCCCTACCGCTATGAATCAAATGCTACAAGACGCACTCTTGGGTGCCAAGTAATATGCTTCACGTCAACGGGGGTAAAGTGCAGCTATCGCGAATTGACAAGTTATACAGGCCAACTATGGCGGTGATTGTAAAAGCGTGGCATTTCTCTGAAGACTAATTCGTCGAATTCTGTAATACTTCATTATGGATTATTGTTTCTCTCTTAAGTCAAATGATATTACAAGCATGATACGAGTATCTTGTAATACTTCATAAGTCAAACAAATGTACAAGTTGACCGCAAGCCTACGCTACATCTTCTCGGGGCCGTACTGTCAAGTATATATGCATGTATTTGGAATGGCAGTCGTTAACTCAACGGTTACAGTGTCGCGAATTCGCCTGAATAGCAGCAAGACTCACGACGTATCGGGCATGCAACAGGTATTGATTGGATCATCAGCTTCTGCTTACAACCAATTGTGCTGAACTTGGATAATCCCCCGGCTCGGGAACGAATCTCACCAATTTATGTGCCCTAGCCGTGTGAAGGACCAGTCAAAGGAACACCATGCGCCTGGCCGTACCCAAGCCAAAGAACCGTAGTAAACCACGTCATACACTATAAGTACACGTATCGCGATACGTTAAAAGCTAACAAGATTAGTAATTTATCGTGGCATGCTGGCGAAGGCCATCTCGCGATAGCCTCATCCACCACGTGGAAATAAACTTTACCCATTAAAGATGTAGTTCGTGCCAGTGACTCACTCTCAAAGTTGAAAATTGTCGCACACAACATATATCAACGGGGTCTCGTCGGCGTTCTATGAGTCCTTTGCTCCGTCTCTCGTCACCTTCTTCTAATAACAAGAGCCCAAGCCAACTACCCGTAAGGCGTCGCTTCCGCTAAGCTCCCCGAAGCACTGCAATCTCCCACTTGCTGACATCGGCCAATATTGGTAGTTGGGGCTCTCGTTGTTAGAGTTGAATGAAGAGAGGTGATGTATAGAGAGAGAGGAAAGGGCTCATGAATGCCGACGAGACCTCGTCGATATATGTTGTGTGCGGCCCATCTATGAATCTGCTGTTAAAGGATTAAAAATGAAATGGAAGCAAATTCACCTGATGGCCCAGATACTCAACCATGTTCGGATACCGCAGGACGAATCTCTCTGAGCCGGGAGACATGTTCGGGATGTGGGGAGAGTTGCAACGCCATTGCTCGGTCATTGGTACCCGACTGGAGAGTGATTCCTGGTCGACCAGGCCAGCTTCGAGAATAAATCCACCAGACTGCATTTTCGCTAGTTCCAACGTTGTTTCGCTGTTGGCTAATGAGCGGGGTGTTGACGTTTGTAAGCTAGACTGATAAGTCCTCGAAAGCAGTGACTGATGGCACGACACATCGATAACACTCGCCTTACGTGTAAGCCACTTTCAGCCAAATGGAGAAGCGACTAACGTAGCTGCTTTGTTTAGCAACTGGCAAAACCTAGTTGCCAGCCCCCACGGTGAGTGTGCGTGGGTACGGCATCAAGTCAGATGGTAGTACGCCAAGCCCTGTCTCGATTTCTGGTCTTTCTAACTGGTGGACTTCTGCGTTCCAGGTTCCCTCCAGGACTCAAGACTACAGTACATACTTCGTCCATACCCGGGGAAACGGAGGCACTGTCCCGGCTACGAGCCTCTGGGATAGTATAGCCAGCACCAGTACCGTACCGGGTATCGAAAAATATTGTCGGATTTAACGGGAAGCAAGAGGAACGGAGTAAACTGCTAGGGTGAGCCACCAGCTGGTGCATGTCGATCCAAAGAGGAGGGATTTGCCCTTGGCTGCAGCTAGACAACGACATGGCTTTTAAACCTTTATTCGGGCGAGCGCATGCATGTCTGGTCTTGATGGCGCCTGTAATTATCCCACTACTACTCCGTGCTCGAAACCGTCCACTACTCCATCCTTTCAATGAATTACACCCGAAATATGCGCCGCGTCTAGTCCATGGTCCCATCGGGGAACCATCTTGCCGTCTTGAGAATCACAAGCAGCCGCTGGAATAGCCGGCCGGCCCGGTATTGCGACAAGCCTCATGGCTAACGAGGACCAGTTGACTCCACTTCTGCCGGTCCCATAACTACCTAGAATTCATAGCAGCAGAGGTTACCAGTGTGGCGAGTTATAGATGCCACGTACAGCTGGCCGCTATATGCGGTCCTGTGGACGCCTCCGTACGGAGCAATAAACCCGCAACATAAGCCCGAGTAGAACCCATGGACCCACGCGGTCATGGTCACGAATCGACCGACCGAGGCAGACAGCCGTTCTCGGTGACTTGCTTGACATCTGCGTGCCATGTCACTTGTTTAGCCAGGAGAACTGGCCGGAGGAGCGCCTGGCTGCAAGTCAAGAGCAGGTCGCACGAAGCTCGTGCCTGAGAAAAAAAAGAGTCGTCAGTGGCAGTCAACAGATCGACGGCACAAAATGTAGTGAGAGAGTCCTGATCGAGGAGGACTGACCCTGAATGTTGTAGCTACATGAGCACAGCGAAAATGGCCCAATGGCAGCCAGCTGAAGCTGCTGTGTAACAAGATATGTTGTATGTCGTCCAATATAGTTGCACGGCTCTACGTATGACAAGACGACAAAAGACTCCTTGCAGGTAGCATTGCCAGTGGTCCGGATGCTGGTCGATCCCCAAGCAAGACTTACATCTCAGATGCAACGCAGTCATATGCACGAACTTGCCGTAAATGCAGCACACATGGTTGTAGTGGCTGCAAAGCGAGGAGACTGTCAGGTTGCTGCGAGTGGCGCTTGTCTCGAACTGTCAAGAATTTCCCCCTCGCACAAGCAGTATTCATGCCATATTCTCCCGTAGTGCTCCATGCATGTAGGAGTCGTTTTCGATGGCCACCTTTGTCGCGACCTCCAGTCAGCTTCCAAGCAGCCTTCCGCCCACCAAAGTTCTTCGCAATGTGAACTGGACTGTGGCCCGTTGTTATCCCGTTCTCCGTAGCGTTCGAATTTGACTTTCCAACACTGACGGGACCAAAGGCACACACAGCCAACTGCAATGGCCGATTGGTCACAATCCCATCGAACCAGAGTCCGCTAAGGTTCCGCCGGTGTTGGGCCCGGGTCATGTTCTACCAGATACAAAGGACGCAACCACCAACCACCAAAGGAGCCAAGCCGCGAGAACCCCAAGGAACCAGGGCAAGTCTCGTCAGTTGGTCAAGGGGTCTCCTGGCGGGCGACCAGGGGAGCAGGGGAGGTTTGATGGGCGGCGCAACGCCACCAGCCACGTTGACGGTCAAATAAAAGCCTGGCGATTTGGCTGTGAATGCAATGAATGGGTGACTGGAGACTTGGGCGGCGTGGGTCAATGCAGCCCATCATCATCATCATCGTGGCTCCAAGGGTCCCGAGTATCCACCCATCAATTCAACCCATCCGACGCCAAGGGACTTGTCGCCGTTCGGATATCCTCCAGCCTGATCACAGGCCCTGTCCAGAGTACGACATACGTACGAGAGAAAAGGCATCTATGTTGTGCCTGTCCTAAATTACGGCCGTGCGTGGCTGCCGTGTTCTTGACTCAACATGCCGGTCTGATAGTGGACGAAGACATCAGTTCTCTGTCCGTCAAGCCAAAGGCACAGGACCTGTTTGGACTTTATTTACCGTACTGGTGAGCCCCGCATGGCACCACATGAAAAGCACATGTCAAAAGCTGGGACAATCCAAAGGTGGGCGAGTCCAATGTTGTCGATGAATTCC